CGCCCCGGGGCCGTGTGATGACCATGGAGGAGCTGGAGGGGCGCCAGCTCGCAGGCGCCGCCGTGCGCGGCCCGGCCCCGCCGCCGCCCGCGCCCGGCCAGGCGCCGCAGGACGGCGCGCCGCGCGCCAACCAGGCGGCCACGCAGAAGCTGATGAACTTCCTCAAGAAGGGACCGTCCCCCGCCGCCCCCGCACCGCCCGGGGGCGCGCCGCCGCCCCCGCCTACGCAGCAGCAGCAGCCGCAGCCGCAGGCACCACTGCCGCCGCCGCCGCCGCAGCAGCAGCCGCCACTGCCCCCGCAACCGCAGCAGCAGCAGCAGGAGCAGCAGGGCGTCGCGCCCCAGGGGCCGGGCATAGACGCAGTGGACGACCTCTTTGCGGCCAGCAGCCTGGTGGGCAGCCTGCTAGACGACGCAGAGGACGAGGCCCCGAAGCCCAAAGCGCCCCTGAAGCTGCCCGGCGACGCCATAGGCGGCGGCAGCAGCGGCGGGGGCGCGATGCCGCCAGCGCTGCAGAACATCTGGGGCACGGGTCCGGGCGTGTGGTCGGCGCCGGCGAAGGGCAGCGGGGTGTCGTCGCCGCTGTCGGGCGGCGCGGGCGGCGGCGCGAAGGCGCCTGCCGCGCAGCCGCAGGCGTCGCAGGCGCAACTGATGCAGCAGCAGCTGCAGCAGCTGCAGCAGCAGCTGCCGTCGACGAGCGGCCCGCTGGGCGCCGGCGCGCAGACGACCGTCGCGACGGCCAACTCCATTGCCGCGCTGTTGGCACAGGCGCAGCGCATGCGGCCGGGGCAGGCACCTATCGACCCCAACCAGCTGGCGGCGCTGCTGGCGCAGCAAAAGATTGGCGCCGCTGGCGCGCCCCAGCAGCAGACGCAGGCGTCGCGCCCAACGCTGCCCGGCGGCGTAGACATGGCCGCGCTCCTCCAGAATGCGGCGGCGGCGGCAGCGGCGGCGCGGCCGCCGCCGACACAGCAGCAGCAGGCACTGCAGCAGCTGCAAGCTGCCGCGCTGGCGCCGCGTATGCCGGGGCAGCAGGCCGCAGCGCCAAACATGCAGCAGCTGCTCATGCAGGCGCAACTACAGATGCGGGCAGGCCAACAGGTGCAGCACCAACAGCACCAACAGCAGGCTCAGGCTCAGCAGCAGCAACAGCAGCAGCACCAGCAGCAGCAGCAGGCCATCGCGCATCAGATCCTGCTTCATCAACAGCAGCAGCGGCAGCAGCAGCAGCAGCAGCAGCAGCAGCAGCTGGCTGCGGCAGGATTCGGCACGGCCCAGGGCCAGTATGGTGCGCCTCGGCCGGGGATGCCCGTCGCATTGTCCCAGGCGCCGCCAGGGCAGCAGCAGCAGCAGCAGTTCCAGCAGCTCCTTGCCCAGCAGATGCTGCAACACCAGCAGCAGGCGGCGATGCTGCCGCCAGGGGCGCGCATGATGCCAGGCATTCCACAAGGCGCGCCCATGGCAGGTCTGCAGCAGCAGCAGCAGCAGCAGCAGCAGGCAGACCTGCAGCGCCTGCTGGCCCAGGCCGCACTGCAACAGCAACAGCAGCAGCCGCGCTGAGCATGTGCACCGCAGTTTTGCGCGGCACGAAGCGTTTTGGGAGGGGGAGGTGCCTCGGTGGAGGCGAGCGGCCGGGGGGTGCGCACCCCCCGCGCGAGTGGCGGCAGGCGCGGCTGCCGCAACACGGGCAGTTTGGCAGGTGAGTTTGTGCAATGGCAGTGCTTGTGAACTCCAGCCAATTGCAAAGCAAGTGGGACAGCAGTGGCGCGTGCTTTTGATCGCTGCGCCCCTTTGCCAGGTATTCTAAGCGAGCCCGTTTCGAAGGTGCATGCGTGTTTGTCGCATCCTTCTCGCCTGTTGCACCGCTCAAGAAATGTTGCAGCGCTTTCTATTCTCGCTTGCTTGGAACGGCGCGCGCCGGCCAGTTCCTATATTGCTGCATGGCGCGCCACTTGGGGTATTGCAGCTTTGCGCCAGGCCCCTCTCATGCGAGTGTGCGGGTCGCCGGTTTTCCGCAGATGCGTTTTGTGTACGTGCATGCTGCCCGTCGCAATCCCCATCCTCCCACACTTGCTTGGATTTGTTATCGCGCATTTTTGTGTGCATTTCTTCTTTCCCGTGAGCCGGTAACTTTTCATCTTGCCTGGCACATGCTGGTGCACACGCGAGCTGAGCTGGGAGCTGGGGCGGCGGGGGTGCGTAGGAGCACGGCTGGGTGACATTCCTTTTCGTGCCTGGGTAAACTCGGCAGCTCTTCCTTAATCAAGACCATCTCAGGCTTGGGTCTCTTAGAGAGCCAGACTTGCAGGTGCTTGGGCTACCCAGGAAGCTAGCACGGTGCGCTGCGGGCTGGTGGGTTACTTCTCACCGAGTGACACCACCGACAAAGTTCCCATAACTGCGCGGCCTTTCCACGTTGGAGGCAATTCTCCCAATTTCCTATCCAATACATCCGCGCGCGCGTTCTGAGGCCGTCGAGTGGAAACTGGTCTGCGCGGGAATCAGGCAATCGCCGCAAGTAAAGCCCAAGGGGTCTGCAGCAGTGTCGCGTGACATCAAAAGGTGATTTTACTCCTACATATGCGCCGGGACCCGTGCCACGGCCTGCTCAGTTGCGCGTCGTGCGCATCCTCCTCACACATAGCGCCGCCCACTCGCCACAGTCCGGCAACTGGTTGCTCAAGCGTCTACGCAATATGTCTCCTTCGAGGCCTCTATTCTTTCTTGCAGTCATACTGGCTGCGATTGCGGCTGCGCAACCAGCGTTTGGCGTCGGCCTGCCTCAGCCCCCACCGCTTGCCCCAGTAGCCGGCGACCCCACCCAGGCCCTCCCGGGCAAAATCAAGTTTGACCGCTGTGAGTCATAGTTCCTTGGTGATGTGGTGCCGCGATTGGCATGAAACGTTTTCAGCAGGCGACTGCGGGGCGGGGCCACCGCCCATGAAGGAGCTCAACCCCCAGTGTTGCAGCCCCGACTACACGCATTTCAAACCTCTGCCACAACCCTCACCACCTCCCCTCGATGCGCCCCGCCGCGCGGCCCGCCCTCCCCACGCAC